ACTTTCTGATTCTCACCCACGGGGACCCAGGGCTCAGGGCTCCAGACTCAGGGGGGTCAGCGGGCACAGAGGGTAAGGTCACGGAGTTCATCAGCTGGAGGCAGCTGGGGCCAACCCATGGGCAAGAAATGCCACACAAAGCAAAACGACGCCAAAACCCTGGGCTAACGAGGTGTGGGGGCTCAGGCTGAACCCGGGGAGGACCCAGGGGAGGGAGGACCCAGGGAGTCCACAAGGTCACCACAGCCTTGCAGTTCCAGTGCTGAGCATTAGAGGGCAGTGTTTGCTCAGCGTGCGTGTGTGGGGAGTGCGCGTGCCTATGAGAGTGAGTGAGTGAGTGTGTGTGTGTGTGTGTGTGTGTGTGTGTGTGTAAGAGAGAGAGAGTGAGAGCGCCAGCAGGCAGCGGCCTGGATCCTAGCTAACCATCCTTTGTGCCCTGTTTGCCCTCCTAGCTACCAGCCACAATCAGCTGGGGAGCACTGCCAGGGGAGAGCTATTCAGATTGGGGTGCTGGGGTGCGGTCTCCTTGCTGCAGGGGGCAGGGGATACCGGGCTCTTCCTTACCTACATTTCTCAAACTCCTCACGGTGATGGCGAAGCCTTTGGTGCGTGGCAGCAGGTGGTACTTGAGGCTGGGCAGCCCCTTGGCTTGGGCCACCTGCATGCTGATCTGGTGCTTCTTCTCCGTGAACCGAGTGCCCTCACAGTGAATCAGGAACTGGAAAGAACAGCGCAATGGTCACACCCAGCCCCCGGTCCACGTGCGGCCCTGGGTCACACCCATTCTGAGTCACACGCGCCATCCCCCATATACCGCAGTCACATGCAGTCCCCCAGGAGCCCTTATGGCCAGAGCAGGGATGGCCCCTGGCAGCTACGCCAGCCCCTGACCTCGGGGTGCAGCCCAGAGGCTGGCCTTCCCCTCTGCGCCCACAAGAGCTGTGGGGACAAAAGTTTATCATCTGAGGATAGTAGAGGAGTGAGCGTATGTGTGCATGAGTCTGTATGTGGGTGTGTGAGCATGAGAAGAGCATCTGAATGTGAGTGTGACAAGAATAGCCTGTGTGTGTGACAAGAGCATCTTGAGCGTGTGTGTGACAAGAGCATCCTGAGTGTGTGTGTGACAAGAACATCCTGGTGTGTGTGACAAGAGCATCCTGAGTGTGTGTGTGACAAGAACATCCTGGTGTGTGTGACAAGAGCATCTTGAGTGTGTGTGTGACAAGAACATCCTGAGTGTGTGTGTGACAAGAGTGCTCTGAGGATTTATTTCTGCACCCGTTAGTTCAAAGAGGAGGACCGGGTAGCGTGTGACAGTGGGGCCGGCCAGCGGGGCAGGTTGGCAGGACAGGCGTGAGGCGTGTCAGGCTGCTCACGTGGGAGTGCTTTGGGGCTGGGGGCGTGGCTGCTCGGGGTCTGACGTACAAAATACTTCTCGGGGTAATCCCGGAGGCGCAGTAAGCTCTTTGAGACGGTCTTGCGGTCTTGTTCCCACTTGCGTGTGCAGAAGACCATCTCTGTGAAGTACCACATCCAGCCAATGATCGGGACGTAGGCCAGCTCCTTCTTGGCCAGGACTTTGGAGCCCTGAAACAGAGATGGGGGCCCAGGGCGATTTACGGAGATGTTACTAGAAAAAGAGGAGCGGACATGCTCTCCAAAGGCCTAAGGGGATGGTTCCAGAGCACAATGAAGCAAGAAGCCACTGACCCTGGAGCCTCCGCACCGGTCAACCAGAGGCCAAGGTTGTGCTAACTCTGCGTGGCGGGGAGGGGGGGGTCTTTGTGGGGGTGGGCAGGCATCTGGGCGGCGTCCGGAACAATGAGGGACGTTTAAGGGTCTCAGGGATGCTCAGGTCATTTTCCAAGCTGGTCAGGCAGTTGTAACACCAAACTCTTTCCATAGATCTCACTCAGTCCTCAGCCAAACTTGGTTCTGCCAGCAGGGCAGACATTATTCTCCTTTCACAGACTAGGAAATGGGGTCTGGAGGGTTCCCTGGGTCATAGGGCTGCACAGTGGGGGAGCCTAGAGTTGAGCTCGGGCCACCAGATCATGTTGGGGGCTCCCTGGCTCATCTCTAAGGCTGGCAGTGGGGCTGGACGCCTGCCTGAGAATGCCCGAGGCTGGCTCAAGACGCAGGGACCTGGCCCACCAACAGGCTGGCCCCTGGGGCTGCTCGGCGTAGGCCCTTAACCAGCGCCGGCCTGGAGAAGACCAGGGATCGGGGCACTGGGGGGGCAGGAGAGACCCCAAAACTGCTTTTCATCTAGTGGGTTGGGCTCTATACTTTTCACCCTGAATTTTGGAATTGGCCAAGATACTCTCTGAGATGGCTGTCGTTGGTCGACGGCGCAGGTGACAGGGGCAGCGATCTGGACAGTCAGGCAGGCTTAGCTGGTGCTCTTGGTGACAACTGTCTAGTTAGGCCCTGAACCTAGGAGGCCTGTCGCGTCCGCAGCAACGACGCAGCTGCAGCTCGGTGAAGAGCGACGGGCCGCACCCCTAGCCACCTGCACGGACTGGAGAAAGGCACGAACGGCCGCTTGCTCCCTTTATGTTAAAAAACCCCAACAATAAACATCTTCCGCCGCGCTGGGAAAGACAAAGCACAGACACCTTTCAGGTTTAGTGTCTCCGTGTTTTGATGGGTTTTGTTTCTGTTATTCCCACAGACCCAACATGCAAATTCTCTCGAAGAAGAGAACCAAGCCATCAAATCCGGGGCCTGCCCCCAGAGGACCTGGAGGCCAGTCCCCATGGGTTCGAGACCTCGCCGTACCTGGGGGGAGGGCTTCCTGCGTGCCAGGCACAGACAATGCACGTCTATAAATTCTGTTCCATCTGAAATCAAAAGCACTAGATACTCCCATTTTATAGATAATCAAACTGAAGCTCAGAGATGTTAAGTAACTTGCCCAGAATCACGGAGCTGACAGCTGGGGAAGCGGAACTTTCGGCCAGGTGGCCTGCCGCGGGCCACAGTCCATGAGAAACGTTCATGCCTACCAAGGCATGGGGCCAGACATGGAGGGCCGCCTACCCAACAGCCGCTGTCCCCTCCTCTTTCTCTTGCAGCCTCCGTTCCATTCCAAAGGCGACATGCTCGGGCTCTGGGGGGTAACCATGAGTGACGTCAACCCAGCCTCGCGTCCCCCGGGCCCCTTAGCTTAGTGTGGGCCTCTGACCCAGTTCTGCTGAGGTGGCTCGAGGGTCTGCTAGGGTGCACGGGTTCTGGGGCTTCTGGGAAGGTTTCGCTCCACGACAAAAAGAGAGACGGCCAGGAGGCCCGGCCACTTTTTCTGCCATGAACACGGTTGCTGAGTGTGTCACGGCTTTGACATCATGTTGTGACCCTGAGACAACAGGCTAGACATGCTGAGGCCACTGGACTCACCGTGCCAACCCGGCAGGTATCTATCTGGCTACACTACTATCATCTGAGGGAACAGAGTGTCTTCATGGCCCAAGCCCCGGGGGTCAGGGTTTCTGTCCATCTTGAGCTGACGAAGGCCTGTGACAGAGCATCAGTCACTTCACCCTAGAAAACTCTTTGCTTTTCAACATGGGGTTACTTTAAATCCTCAAAGCATGAACTAATTATTCTGACTGGTGCTTTCTTGTGCTAAGTGAGAAGGAAGTGCTTGTCACTCAGAACACAAAACCAAACTGCCTGGGGCATCACCACTCTGCCCATAGGAGCCATTGAAAAGCCTATCAGCGTGTGTCCACTGCCAGGTTTCAGGTCGAGGGAGGCCCCTTCGGCCTTCCCTCAACCCCCTCCTCTTGTCAGCAGGGATGTCCTCATGCTTTCTGCTCCTGAGCCTCAGTTAACTCCTTACTCATGGCTTGTGAGATGAAAACAAGATAGAAAATCCTCACCAATGAACTCAACTTACCTTCTCGGTAGGTTAGGACTATGTACAAAATTTACATATTCCTGAACTCATTCCAAAAATACTTTGCGGCAACATGAAGGGATTCTAAAAGATGATCTGTTCTATAACCAAGAAGGGAATCATATACTGTAGGGTAGCAGCCACTGGGTCTAGGAAGGTGAGTGGCCCCATGCGGTCAATCCTAGCTGTCTGGTGGGGAAAGTACTCTCATGGGTATTTCCTATTAATGGAACTATCCCACCAGACCCAAATGGGTCTTAGTGGTTGGCTTTTGATAACCTACTGCTAAGAGGAAACGGAACTTTGACAGTGATGTGGGATCTATGTGTAGACCAAAGAGATGAGCTCAAGAGTCTACATATCCATCACTGTCTTATTGTGTTGGAGGGAGCGCTGCAAATCATCTAAATGCCCCACAGGAGAAGAGCTCAATGAATTAGAGTATATACGACAGACCGTACATGCAGTGCATAATGCGATATTACAGAGCAGTTACTGTAGCCTGTGAGCCAAAGCAGCTCCACCACCTGTTTTTATAAATAAAGTTTTACTGGAACACAGCCACTCTCTTTCGGGTACACACTGCCGATGGTTACTTTTACGCTGCAACAGCTGAGCTGAATAGTTGTGACCGAGGCAATATGGTCCACAAAGCTGAAAATATTCCCTATCCTGCCAGTTACAAAGTTTGTCAACCTTTGATTTACAGCCACTAAAATTTGTTTCCTACGAATATTTAATAGCTGGGGAAATGCTTATTACATAAAACTTAATTTTTAAAAGGTCTGGAATCAAAGCCGAGTCTAGAGTCTGATTATGACTACATGAAGAAAGTAAAACAGGAAAATAACAGTAGCTCTGGGTGAGTGGTCAAATCAGAAGCGATTTTTTTTTTGTTTTATTAGATTTTCCTGTTTTTTATCAACAAAATATTTTGCAGCATTCCTCTAACAATGCCCCTTTTAAGAAGTAGTTGACATCAGCACATTTCAACCATTTGCTTCTGGAACATAAGTAAGACTGGATCAAAACAGCCTATTGGATAATGATGATCAAAAGGAACAGAGGAGATATTTCTGTTTTTATGTTGAATTAATACGTCTTTCAACTTTAAAGTTCTGGATGTTATCATTAGGCCTAGACCTTGATGTTGACTATGTTTATTTGATATAAGAAATGTTTTAAAATATTAAGGTAGAAACTTTTGCCTTTCAAATCAAAGATACTTTACTTGATTTCCTTTCCTCAGCAGGGATAACCGGACTTGGAAAGCTTTGAAATCAGTCCTGATTTTGATCAGGCTCTACCACGGCCCAGCTGTGTGACTTTGGTCTCGAGACTTAACCTTCCCGAGCCTCAATTTTCCCAGCTGTATTATGAGGAAAGGAATACTTACCTCCAAGTGTTGCCGTAAAGATTTAATAACATATGGAAACATATACAAAAGTGTGGAGTTGTGAACCTGACAACAGGTGTTCAATAATGTATAGCTATTATTACTACCACAGAGTAAGCACAGGGGCTAAATGTCCCTTTCAATTCAGCCCATTTCCTAAACCATGCTTTAGCATATGGTGATAACAAAAGTTTGCGGGTATTCCAGGATTACCTGACAGGCAGTGCGCTGAGATATTTACAGGAGTTCACTCACTTAAGACCCACAGACTAGAAACTTCCTGCTCAAATATGCTTACAGTCCTCCAGGAAACTCAATACGCCATCAATATCATGACCCTCCCAGGCCAAGCAAGGGTTTCTACATGTGGATGGTAAAGTCTTCAGGAAAGAATGTATAAAAACAATATCAATTTCATTTATTCTGGATTTATTTTGAGGGTAGATCTGAGAGGATTACTGATGAGTTAGATTGACCACAGGCCCATCTAGACATTGGCATGTCTGGAAAACAAAAAATGTTCATAGGAAATGCAACTTCTTATGAGGAATGCACAACTGCAAGGACCTGGCCATTGTTGGTAGTTGTAGGGAGTTGCTGACATGATATCACATTCTACAGTTAAAAGTTTATGAAACTTTTGAGTGTGTGTGTGTGTGTGTGTGAGAGAGGTATGTGTGTGTGAGAGATAGTATCTGCGGAGAGTGTGTGTATGTGTGTGTGATTGTGTGAGAAAGTGTATATGAGAGAATTTTATGTGTAGAAAGTGTGTGATTGAGTGTGTATGAGTGTGTGTGTGAGAGACCGTGAGAGTATATGTGTATGTGTGTGCGAGAATGAGTATGTGAGAGAGTGTGTGAGAGAGACTATATGTGTGTAAAAAGAGAGACTGTGTGAGTGTGAAAGAGGGTTTGTGTGAGAGAGGGTGTGTGTGCATGAAAGCGACTGTGTGTGTCTAGAGAGTTTGTGTGAGACAGACTGTGAGAGTGAGTGTGTATGTGTGTGTAGACAGACTTGAGAGTGTGTATGTGAGAGTGTGTGTGTGAGAGAAAGGGTGTGTGTGTAGAGAGAGAGTGTGTATGAGAGACTGTGCATGTGGAGAGAGACTATGTGAGAATGTGTGTGTGTGAGAGAGAAAGGGTGTGTGTGTGTGTGTGTGTGTGTGTGTGTGTAAGAGAGCGAGGGCGAGACCTATCTTACCACAGTTGCCCGATCAATCTAACTGAGCAGCCCATAACCACAGTTGGGACCACACAGTTGCTCAGGGAAACAGCAAACCCCACGAACCCTCCA